CAAAAATACCCCGCCTATGTGTAATCCTACCCCTTTTTTTTTTCTCTATGTTTTTTGGCCGCTGCAACCGGATGCTGTCCATTTCAATTATCGTATGGCGGGGTCCCTTGGAGTGGTGCTTGAATTTTGAATTTTTACATCCATTGTGTATTCCGCTGGCCCGTTGCCTCGCTGTTTGTCAGTTTGTGAATATTTGATGATGCCCCCCCCAAAAAGAGGCTGCACAGCGGCCAAGAAAATGCTCTCTACCTGGAATGAATGATAATCCTCCAGCGGAGGGCTTTACACTCAAAGAAATCGATATTAAAGTAGTTTTTCTTTTGAAATTTGAAAGGGGAATAAATTAATGATAAACTAATGAATCAGAAAAAAATATTTTATGAAATGTAAATGGTTAAAAATTGGTTTTTTTTCTTGAAAATTTCTAAACCATTTTTCTTCTCAGGTTTTTTGTTTTTTAAAAACATTTTTCATTCTAACAGCAACTTTTCGCTTCACAAATCTTAAAATAAATCATATTACTTAATAAATTTGTGAATAAAAAAAACCTTGCCAAATGTTAAATAACATAAATAGTAACCTCTATTCCTTAACATTTCTCTGTTAAATTTTTAGACATTTCTCTAACTGTAGCTCATCGAACCAGAGGTTCTGGCGGCCGAAGCTTAGCGGCAATTGAAATATTTGTTTATGGATTTCCATGTGGTTGGTTTGTTTTTTAGCAACTTTTTTTCGGCCTTCTTGGTGGTGGTTGACTGCACTCCACTTTTTTAGCTAGCTAGCCCAAAGTTACACAGAGAGAAACTAATAACTGATTTCAGATTAAATCTATAACAAAGATTCCCAAATAATATCAACCATTTAATCTTCTTAAACAAAAGTTTAACTATCAATGGGAATATTTAGTAACAAAGTACTAATTTTTTTCTGTGTATTAACTGGACAACGGTTTGTGTTTTTTGTTTTTTTTTTTTTTGGCGGTGGTTGCTGTGTCGGTGGTGGAAACCACGCTTTTCCGAAGTGCACTTCAATTGCATTAATTAAAGAAAAGCAAAAGCGGCTGCAAATAAACTTTTATCCCCTTTGCATTTGGTGTGGGGGGGGAGGGTGCGGGAGGCACGGATTTTCACAAAAAACTTCTCAATTTCATTTGCAGACTTCGTTTGGCAAAAATCCATCCTGTTTGATGTCAACCTCTGGATTAGTTAAGCATTTCCTGTTTTTTTCGGGGAATAATAATAACTTTTGGTTAGGCACACAGAACAACGTTGAAGTGCGCCGCTTTGAGTTATTCACAGCAGGTTTTTGAGTCTGTAAAAGTTTCTCTTTTCGACTTTCTCGTTTGAGGAATAAATAAATAAACCTTTCGAATTTGTAGAGACTAATGAACATGGCAAGGGATATGCATTTTATGGTTAGAAAGATGATGTGTCTTTTAGAAACAAGAAAGTTAACCCAATATGAACATGTTTAGTTCTTCATTTCAGTTTTTAACCTTGCAATATGTCCGAGAAAATGAATCATTTTCCGTAAAGGTTTTTGTTCGCCTGCATCTATTTGCCAGCTGTGTGTAATCTGTGCCATTTACCGCAGCTGCATTTCGCTTTTCTCCGACTTTTCCTGGCAATTTCCCGCTGCTTTATCCCCATCTAAGGGAGGGAGGGGTGGCCAACTGATTGTTGTTGTTGTTGGGGAAAAACAAAAAGTGGCTGGTAGAATTGAGGGAAAAACGCAGCGCATGCGTCATATTGATTTTGCTTCCGCTGGCGATTGTCGATTGCCGTTTCCGGCTCGAAACTTCAAAGGGAAGCCTCCAATTTGCCAAAATGCAATATCCGAAATGGCCAACCATTTTCCACACACCCATAAACACACACAAACATACAGATCAAGGAGTTTTCCTTTCCTTTAATTTACCCATCGACTTTTGACTGGGCCAAATGGCCTATGAAATTGAAAACGGTTCGATGCTTCCCTCGCATTGCTTATACGACGCGTTGTACCCATCAAATTATCCAATTAATTACGTTTTCCCATTGAAAATTAGGCAATCATTGAATGGACATTCAAAGCGAAGGAGGGGCTTTAACGAAAATGGCAAACTAATGAGAGGCAATTTTGGGCGTTCGAGGAAAACATTTCCAAGCAAAACGAAACGAAATGCAATTTGACTTCGTCCGGGAACTGCATACAAATTTAATTGACAAAAGAACTCAACAATAAGCCCTAAAGGAGCTCAAGGAAAATCGCAAACAGAAAGCCAAAAAAAAAAAAGAAAAAACAGGAGAAAAACAAAAGGAAAATTAAGAAAAGACCAAGGAAAAACGGGGTTTTCTGAGAAAAAGGAAAACAGGAAAATAACTCTTTGGAAATTGAATTTCTTCCGCTGAAAGCCTTAATTTTCTTGGACGACGACGCGTTTTTGTTCGACGCAAAAAGTTCTAATAGAATTTCACTTCACTTCAATGCTGCACTGCCAGTGGGGCGTGTGCTGTGTGGGCGTGGCAATGCCGGTTTTAATTTACAGAATCCCGCAAAAGGAAAAGCAAAAAACGGGAGACCAGAGAATAGGACGCACCAGATGGAAAAAGGAAAATGGAAAATGGAAACTCATCTCAAGATTTTTCGCTCAAGAAAAGTGAGCGTTGAATGGCATTTTCTCTTCATATATATATATATATATATATATTACACTATGAAAGCAACAGAGTGGAAAGAGGGAATTCAATTTTCCGACAAGAAAGAAAATCTGCTTGGGCTGCTGCAGATGTGTACACAAAAAACTACACACGCAGTTGCAGTAAACTTAAAAGTTTTCTTGATTTGATTTCAAAAGCTCTAAAAAGTATGCTATATTATTGTTGAAACTTAAAAATTTTATCACTAATCTATAGTGGACCTATAACTGCCTCTTTACCTCCTTTAAGTTGCCTAAATATATCCGATTATTTCAGATCAGACCTGGCATTATATTTGATTTACTCTTCATCAGGTCATAAGAGCATTTTGCCAAGCTGTCTCTATAAACTAATCTGGGGAACTTATCTTAAAGCTGATTTCGTCTGTTGGAGTCAGTCAGCTGAGAGATATCCCTCCGATGGTGGGTGGTCTGGGTGTGATATAGAGATGCTATGTGTTCTTCTGGTGGGGATAAAGTGGAGAAGTATGATGAGGCTGGGAGTGGTGGTGGCTCGTGACCAGTTCCATCTGGTTATGAGGGTGGTTGGGTAAGAAAACTGCAGGCACTCCAGTCCAAAGTTCTGCCAGCATTTACATGTTCTATATGCCATACATATAGTATAATAAATGCTATATGCCATTCGCAGGACGAAAAACATAGACCACCGACAGCCAGGCAGGCAGGCAGGCAGGCAGGCCAGCAGACAGACAGAGAGAGGGAGATATAGGTATAGGCTAAAGAGTGAGTAGGAGATAGAGGCTGACTGCATTTTCAATTATATAAACGTATAAAATATGGATGCTGCAAATATATGCATTGTCAGTTTGCCGTTTGTATGATATAAGCTAGCCAACCCCAACCCAAAGCCCTCCCCTTATTCCTCCTTCTCTCACAATAATACTCAATTTATTTTAATTTAATGTCATCGCAAATACCGAACGTAATTCGAGCTCCCATTCTATCGTTTTTCTATCACTTTTGTCATCGAACTGTGAACTTTCAGCAAAAGTTGCATTTAAATAATTGATTTTTCACCTGGAAAGGGAATGGTCTACACTCTCTCCTTCTCTTCTATAAAAGTTTGATAAATGTTATCATAGAAAGGCCACCAGCCACCACAATTTTAATTACAAGGATTAGACAAATCATATTTGGTTTGCATTTAGGCTTTAGAATGCCAGTTGGTAATTAATGTATGCATTATTGCCATTATTTTTAGATAAGGGATTAACTTATTTGTAAAGCATAGAGAAAGAAAGGGTTCTTAAATAATATTCGGATTAATATTACAAATTAGATAGAAATTTTCCACAAATTTTAAGAAATTCCTGCAGAAAAGTAGAGTTTGTTCTTCGAGGAAGTAAATTTTAGCTAAAAACTTTTTCCAAAAAGACTATAAATTTGTAGAATTAAAAACTATATTCCTTCAAATTTGGAATATATATATCAAACATATCCAAAATAACCCCATTGGCATATGCAACTTTGCAACGCGACTGCCAATCGCGATTGCACAAATGCGATTTTCTCGATTAAAATTTGTGCCAATTTAAAAATCGATAAAATTGCCATGAAATCTGCGCTGCGACAGTGTGTGGAGCGGGGAAAAAATGACGACCCACCGGCCATTATGTGATTGTGTCCCTGTCAGGATATCGACGATACGTACATATGTGTTTGTGTGCTCATATCCGTGTGAATGCAATCATGGCAACGCAACGCAACGATGAGAGGATGAGCGAGGTAGCGCAGCAGAGAGAGGGGGGAATGATTGATTGAGTGGGGGCGGTGGCGGCGGCGGCGATGGCGGAAAAGAGGCGGGGCAATCATCATCAATGAAACAACGAACACAATTAATGCACAAATTGCTTGTCGAAGAGCTCAAGTGTAAACAGCGATGCGAGCGAGTGGAATGGAACGATAGACGATGGACGGCCGCCAAAAAATGGGTGGGAAATGCAATTGCGAATTTCGCCATTTTTGCAATTTTCACAATTTTCAATTATTTTGGCTCTATTGTTACAGACGAAAATTAAATAATATCACTGATTACATTCTCAACGAGCTTTTATAAGCATTTGCGAGAGGTGGCCTGGCAAATCACTATTAAAGCTGTTGAAAAGTATGCAACGATATTTTTAGGGTCTAGAATTTGAATTGAAGTGCATAATTTAGACATTATATAGATGTCTAAGTGAAAAGTAGTGACTGATTATGTAGATCTTAAAGATAATAATTTAAGAGCCTGCTTTGTATACATTTTTGTACTGCATACTTTTCAGCATGCCTAGCATTTTTAGTTTTTTAACCAACAACTCACCTTATAAGTCGTTGTCCTTAACTGATATTTTCGGTTTTTATAAAATATCACTTTACAGCTGATCTCTGTCGATCTCTTGATTTTTCCCCCGTCGGTTTTCCCTTAAATCCGCCTTTGCACTTTTCCTTCCTCTGCAATTTGAATATTTCCTTACTTTTGGTTTTTTTTTTTTAGTATAAATTCTTGTAGCTCGTCGTTCGATTTTTTGGTTTATTTTTTTTGTTAGTTTTTTGATTCATACATAGATTTGGCAAATATTTTGTTTGTTAACCGATTTGCATGATAGTTTTTGTTATCATAGTTTTTTGTTTTGCTGGGTCCTTGCTTATTAAAAAATATTTCGTCGTATTTTGAAATCGTTGGAAGTCCGTTTTGAATCTTTCCCGTTGTCCTTTTCTATGCCCTCTCGCTTGTCCTTTGTATAAATATTAATTTCTTTGAGAAATTCAAGTCTTTATTTTAATATTACTTTGCTTTTTGTGTTTAACTTCGGTCGTTTATGTGTAAATATGTAAATTTATTTATATATTTTGCGACAAAAAAACACTTGCTTATGGTATTTTCCGTTTTCCTTTTTTTAGTTAATATATATTGAGTTTTGTTTTTTGGTGTTGATGCTTTTGATGGGGCCTTTCGATGCGCACTGCGCCCTTACCCAAAACTTTATAAATTCAGTATAAAACCTTGTGGTATATTCCTATAGGCTATATAGATTGATTGGCTAGACACTCACCGACGTAGGTAATCAAATGTTATCCAACTATATATATATATATATATATATCCAACTATATATTTATGATTCTAGCTAGCACACACATTTACTCAAATCAGATTGATGTTTTTGAATAAAAATGAATTACTTTTTAGTTTTTTGTTTATAATTATTATTATTATTATTGTTAATATAGTTAGCAGCGGTGTTGGTGTGGGAGAATTGCTTTTTCTTAACGAATGTTTGGTCTTTTGTAGCTTTTATTTTAGTTTTCTTTTTAGTTTTAACTTTTGTATCAGTCAAAAACACAAAAATGAAACATTGGAAAATTGTGATGATAGTGTTGAGAGGCGGTTTTCTTAGGTTTTTGTGTATTAACGATTTTTTTTTGGTTAATTTTTTTGGCTTAAAGTTGATTGCTGCCAGCAGACTTTTGTGTTAATACGCTCTGAATTTGGCTAAAAATAGAAATGGAAAATGGGAAAATGACATTAGATTAAAAATCTGCGTGTGTTGAGACGAATCTTGGTTGATTTTTAAGTATCTGGAATTTGGCTACAGGTAATTAGGTCGATGCCACACCCTTTCCACACGTACATACTAAATAAGTACACTGAAACACAAATTCTAAAGCAAAGTTAACCTACATTGGAAAATTTGGCAATTTTTGTGGGAAATCTTCACATTTTTTGGTTTTATTAACTAAAATTTTGATACAGCTTTGATATTTCTCTTATTTTGTATTTATTTTTACAACATTTAACATTATAGGAAAGTATTTTTGATAAGAAAATATGTGAATATTTTTCAAAATGAAGGAAATATAGTAGAATTTAACTTAGAAAGCAAAAAATATATGTGTTATATCACAAAAATGAAAAGTTCTTAAGGGAACATAGAAGAACTTTCAGGGAAAATGTTTTGATTTTCAAATTACTTGCCTAATATTAATATTTAAAGGGATTTTAAAACGTTTATACTAAGAAGAGTTACTCTTAAAACAGTAATAAATAATAATAGAATATTCTTAATGAAAACCAAAAATAAAACAGATTTCTCAACTAATTTTACCAATTTTCCAACAAAATCAAGTCATATCTTTCTTCCACTGTATAAAATATAGAAAACAATCTCTTAGAATTTTCAATTTTTGTACTCACTTTTCCTGGATCGACTTGGAATGTATTTTTCTCTACCTTTTTCTAAGATCTAACTTGAGCTGCAGGTCTTAACCTTGGCTTTGAGCTTGTGAAAATTCTCAGAAAAAGTTGGAAAAAAGTGATCTCTCAAACTGACGATTCTTCTGGGGGGCTCATATGCTATATATCTTAGATATATATATATATTACGATCACTCAACACACTCTCACACACATATACAAAAAGATATAAAAAAGTTTGTTTGGTTTTTTTCTTTTGGGGACGTACTGACTGACGACTGACAGGAAGGACAGCGGCGATCCTTGTAGGCCGGTATTCCCCCGGGATTAATTCGAGAACTCTTTCTTTTGTTGTTGCTCCTCCGCCCTTCTTCTGCTGCTCGCTCGCTCTTCTCCTTCCTCTTCGTCGATCTTTAAACTTTTGCCTAATATTATTTGAATATTTTTTTGTTGTTTTTATTTTTTTTTTTTTTGGTAATTTGTTGTTGTTAGTAGTAGTGGCTTTTCATACTACGGAAACAAGGAGAAATCATATAGCGACGCAAATGATAAATCATATGAGTAGAATAATACGAAAACGCGCTTAAAAAAGAACCGCGTTTGCTGGATGCGCCGAAGACTGCTTGACTCGTACTGAATTTTCCCATACACGAAAAGAATACAGAGAGAGAGAAAGAGATTGGCGGCGTCGCTTTTCCTACAGCGACAGCGACAGCGACGCTAGCAGAGGACGACGCCAACGCATCCTGTGTTGAGGAGACTTTTCACGGAAATCCCTACAGCAGCACCTACAGTAGTTCGAACATACAGGAGCAAACAGAGCTTTTTGGCACAGCTTTTCTACCACCGCACTCGCTCTCGCTCTCTCTCTTTCTCTTTCATTTGATTTTCCCATCTAGCTCCAACTCTCCAGTTGGCCAGCGGAAAATACTCTCCAAAAGCGCGGCTTCGAAATAATTTGAAAATGCATTTCCCCCCCCCATCCCCTAAGAACTGCTAGGAGGCGGTGTGTGTATAGTAGGGGGCGTGGTAGCGAGGTGGCGTTGCAGAATGTGTGCCAACAGCTCGTCGTCGTCTATATCCCTTGTAATCTGTGTAATTTCAGCTGCTCGCAACTCTCAAAAAACAACAGGAAGCGGCACTTGGAAAATAGTTTTGGGGGCTTTGAAAATGGCTTAGAATATATTATATCAGAAAGTAAGGAAAAGTTTTAAATAATTATCAGAAATATAGATATTGGAATGTGTCCTAACAGTTTGAAGGGATTTTTAGCCGACTTCAAATCAAAATAATACAAATTTGTATCAAATACCTCAAGAAAGAAGGCAAGAATCAACTTCAAATTTTAAATATATTAATTCTAAATATATATCAAAGTTTAAATAGAAAAGTTCGAATTATAAAACCTAAAAAAGAAATCAAAATTATTTAAAAATATTTAACAATATTCCCAAAATACTAAATAACAAAAACTATATTTCCTTGTGCATAAAAATAGAAAGATAGAAGAGGCAAGTAGATGGGTATGACGGTATGGGCGAAAAGCAGTGGGTGGGAAAATAAAGCAGAGGAACGGCAAAAGCAGCGGCAAAAGCGATTTGAAATTGTGCAAATGTTTGCATTGAGCTTCGGTGCATTCCCATTTGAAATTAATTGAAAGACTTTGTCTCAGGATTAGGGTTGTGCAAAGTATATATGTTACAAATATCAAAAGATTTTCTCGATTTTCTTATCGATATAGCCGAAGCGAGAGATCAGATATACGAGATTATCTTAATTAGTAAAGGGTATTATGATTTAACACCTCAAGAAGCTGCTTATTAGCTTATTAAAGTAATATTCTTATCGTTTTAGATATCGAAAATATCGATAACTTATATAAAAAATATATTTTTATCTATATATTCGAAGCGAGAGATCAGATATACGAGATTATCTTAACTAATAAAGGGTATTAAGATGTAACACCTCAAGAAGCTGCTTATCTATCATTTTAGATATCGAAAATATCGATAAGTTACATATCAAATATTATTTTCACATATTTCCAAGCAAGAAATTATCATTCATGCCTCATATTCGACAAGGATTCCAGGATGCGGGCACCGTCGAAAGAGAAGGCTGTGCAGTGGGTTGGCCAGAGACAGAGACCACATAGCTTATACATTTGTATACATATATAGATATATTTGCTGTGCAATTGATGTCCAACTAAAGGACTCAATTTGCCAAAATACAAGCTGATCAAATATTAATATTCACAAATGAATTTATAATGCCCCGCATTTTAACGGTCTAGCCACACACAAAATTGCAATGCAAAATGCATGAGATATTCCGCAGAACAAATATGTTGGCTTTAGTTTGGAAATGAAAATATTAAAAAATTATTTCAAACTCTACATTTTATACGGAAATAGTGGTATTTAAGATGGTAAGATGGGAATATTTTCCATCCATCAGAATAAATTCCCATCTTAAATACCAAAATTTTCGTATAAACTTACCAACCATAATATTATCAAAATAATTTGTAAATTATAAAAATGTTCATAAATTATTTTTTCTGCTCAGAAATAACTGTAGGATTTTTTTTTAAATTCTCCAAATCCATTCAAAATCAACAAAACTCTCAAAAATAATCAAACCCTTACCCATTTAAATATTTATTAAACATAACAAATCTACATTTCAAGTTGATAGCTTCAATTAAAACTTGCCAATTACCCCAACTAGCAAGTAATTAGCTCCGAAAATATTAACATTAAATTGCATTTCGTAGGAAAATCCACTCGCATTATTGCACTTAAAGTTGAGGGCTCCCTTGAAGTCAATTGCAATTAGTAAGCTTACTTAGCATTAGGGTCATCGGGGAGCCGCCGGCTTTTCAACAATTTCAATTAATTAAAATAAATAATGAAATTATGTGTGCAACCAGCACAAGCCACCCCTATACCCCTATAGACCCCCCTCACCACCCTCACTTCAACATATCCTACCCATAGGGGCACTCGGAAAATCCTTGTGATTATCTAAGCCAAATCCCGAATACTGGATACATAGTTCTGGGGATGAGATATAGGATATATATATATATATGTATATATATAAAGGATACAGGACGAAGGATGTGCAATGGCTCTAACTCGCCCTTTCCCCCTTGAAGAAAAGCTTCTCTTCGCGATGGAAAAGCTCTCGTAGGGGCGCTGTCCCGCTGTAGACAATTTTCCGGGCCGTGTGTAGACTTTTCCGTTGCCGTTGCGAAAATGGAGCAATTTCTGCATATGGGCGGCGGCGGCGGCGTCATTCGAAATTGTGTCAAACAGGGCGCCGAACACGCCCCAAAAGCACAGAGACCGGCCGGCCGGCCGGCAGATTGTCCGTACTCTGACCACGTACACTCAACCGGAGATATAGACACATTTAGATAGATATATACTATATATAGATATAGTCAATAAACGGTCATTGGAAATTGAAGGCGGAGTTGGAGATGAAGACATCGTCTTTAAGACGGCTGCCTTAAAGCCAATAGTAAATGGGATTTCTGGAGGAAGATGCACAGCTCAAAAAGCTCAGCAAGTTTCCTGATAGAATATATTTCATTTTGTAACTTATTTAGCCAAAAAATATTATTAATATTAAGTAAATAGTACTAGATAAACTAGAATTAACTTTATAAATAATCGATTTAAGTAACGATAATATCGATATCACCGATAATGTTAACACAATCAGTGATCGATAAGTAGAAAGCTGATTTTTCTTTTATAAAATTACCATAAAAATGATTTTAACATATATTTTTCTATAAAGTAACTAAAAGCTTATACAAAACTCTGTTTTTATATTTTAAATTAATTATAAATAAGTGTTTGCTAAGTAAATTAAAAATATATTCTTTTAGGAAAACGCAATAAAATGCTGGACCAAGTTTGAGACCACCTTTGGTAATTAAGTTTTCTTCAACGAACTGAAAATATTTACGTAAACAAGTTTCGAGAACAACAAACAGTGTTTTTCTAAAATAATAACAACTATTATTTTTTTTCTAAAATAATAACAACTATTATTTTTTTTCTAAAATAATAACAACTATTATTTTTTGGGGTGTGTCGGCTGGGTAAATAGGGAGCTTTTGCAGGATAAACAAGGATGAAGGATGGCTAAGGATGAGGGGAAGAGGTCGTCCTAAAAGGACAGCAAGGGGCACTTGCAACCTCTGTCACGTAGTCGGCCAACTCGTACGCAAAACTTGTGCCAAGTTCTCAAGTCAACATAGGACTCCTAACCCACACACTAAAACACACGCACACACACACACACAGCCACTTAATTGAGTGCATGGGGGCGGAAGGGCTGCCCCGGGGGGCGTGGCACAGTACAGAACATCCTGCTGAGTGTGGTGGTAGTGGTGATGGTGGTAATGGATGGTGGTGTGGCCCCAGGATATTCACAAAATAGATGGAAATAAGACCGAGCAGTCACGCAGGCACACAGAAAACGAGTAAAGGATTGCAGAATTAACACAATAACAAGGATACCAAATATAAACTATTTAACCAATCCCCCTGTTCTTAAAGGCCTCTCTAACCACACATAAGCTTCATAAAGGACTCAAGGCAAACCAAATAAATCAATATTTATAGTTGATTCAAAGGCCTATTTGGTGAAAAAATAACTCGCAACTTACTTAATATGCAGTAAAATGTAAAAACTATTTTAAAATATAAATATTTCAAGATGTTTGAGAAAGAAATTCTTATTATGAACTTCTATTTGTTGGTTTTTAAGTAATCAACCAGAAAAATATCACAAAAGAAGTAAAAAAACACTAATTGTATATTTTCCTTAAGGTTTTTCATTATTAAAACTTAATTTTAAAAATATATTTCGTGATTCCATATATCTAAAACTATTTACTATCTTTTATTTAAGATTTTTACTGTTTTCCCTTTAAAAAAACACAAAAAAAACTGGCAAGTAAGCCCCTCAAGTCGGTATCTGATTCAGAAATTCTTAAGGAATGAAAAGATATGTTGACTTCAACAGGTGCTCGTTGAGCCGTGCACTTACCAATTAGCATATGTGCACTTCTCGCAGCACCCCTTAAACCCTTTTTCCTTTTCCTTCCCCTTGACCCTAAACCCTTAACCCCCAACATTCAGTGTGTGCAGTTCCTTGCCGAGACCAAACATCCTCACTCAAGTGGCGTTTTAACGCTTCAAATGCATTACGAGGGCGGCTCAAAGGGGTTAAGTCACTCACACACACACACACTCAAACTGGCATAAGAGTGCACTAAAAGAAAATTTAGAGTGTTCTAGAACATATTTATGAATTAACAGAAGTATATTAGTAAAATATAAGTAATTAACTAAAAAGATAAAAAAAAAACAAACACAAATCTTATTTTTGAAATAAACCCTAGAAGACTTTTTGAATTTCTTTCAGTGCACATATTTGCATGAAAAGAAGAGGATAAGAGCTAAAGGGATGGAGAGCTAAAAGGGATGGCGTAATTGCTTTAAGAGGCAACAAAAAAAGGAATCACACAAGTCGCTGAACATCAGCTAATTTCACTCCTTCCCAAAATCAAAAGACAGATAGAGAGAGAGAGGAGAGCAAAAAAAAAGACTGGCACAAAGGAGGCAAAAAACTTTTAACAGCCATCGAGTGACTTCCGTTTCCGGCGCCCGCAGCCACCCACTTGAATGCTAATCAGCTGAATGGCAAATCAGTTAATCTATATGCCACCACAAATCGATCGAATCACTGGCCATATATAATACGACCCACCGCCCGCCCGGCCGCACGCCCGTCATCCAGATATTTATGCGTTTCGACAGGCGCAGACACTGTGCGAAATAAATGTAGGTTTTTCTAGTTATTTAATTATTTCGATAAATACAAGATTTTTCTTTATTTCTACCCCAAAAAATAGGCCTGATGCTGACATTAAGTATACGCCCCATAATCACCACGTGACTGGTTTTGTATGTACTAGAATCCCCTGGTTTTTGTTTTTCACAGAGACAAAGACAAAACAGAAAACAGTCAAAAGGTGTGAGTGAGATGAGATGATATAACCCCATCTCACTTGCATAAAAAAGTATAAATAAAAGGACAAATCTAACGATGCGTTATGCGAATATTTGCATTTGAAATTGAGAAATGTTCTCTCTATCAATGTGCGTGGGTGCAAGTCAGCTGAATACATACATATGTATGCATATATACGCTTTTACTAACACAAATACTACCGTATACACACCACCCATACACTTCAATACATGTGTGTGTGTAAGAGAGTCCTATGTACGTGAATTACATGCCAAATTTTATAAAGGGTGCTAGAAGTAAGCTTAACCTTACATTGCCTAAAAAATAGTAATCTATATTGATATTAACTTTTAGGATAAATATTTTAAAGTTATTATTTTGTTACTTAGTTGTTAATATAAAAATAAATAAATGGTGTCTAAGAAAGTTAGAATATTCATAAATAATATGAAACATTTAGTTTATGTTTTCAAATTATTTAAATATTTTCATAATAATATGATAGTAGATAGTTTTTCTTTTTATAATCAAAAACCCATTCAGACACCCTGTATACAGCTTTGTCCTTTGCGAATAATTTCCACATTGCCCGAATAAATACGGCAAGCGCATGAAATTCACCAAAAGCAAGACCGAAACGTGAGCATCAGCAGCAGCAAAAACGATGAAAAGCCCCTCAGGTCCTTGATATTGTCCACATAGCTCAGTATATATGCAAGTAAGAGTGGGTGTTCATATGACGACACTGCCACAAAAAGAAATTTAACAAAAACCTTGCAGCCAACCGAAAAAAAACATGAAAAATGAACTCAGCCTCAGCTCTTGCAATTTTTTCAATCAAATTTCTACAAATACACACAAAAACCATTGCATTTTAATGGAAATGTTTCTGAACCCTGCATAAGACTAAGATATATATTCTTATTCCTAAAGGATACAGAAAGATTTCCAACCAAACACCAATCAAAATAAGTTTAATAACTTTTAAATAATAAATTTAAAGAACTCTTGAAAATCGTCTATAAATCCATCTATTATCCAGTTAAAAAACGTATTTTAAGTAGTTTGGATTATATTTACATTGTTTTTAATGATGGCATGATTAACATATTCTTCTGTCTTGGATCATCGACAAAGATTTTAAATTTTTAAGCTACCCCAGCGAAAAGTTTTATCGATTTTTGAATTATTTTCTTCGTTTTTTGGTATTACACGTACTTCTACCTCTAATTTTAATATAAATATACAGTCGCCAAATGTTATAGAAAGTCAATATAAAGCACGAAAAGGCGGCCTGCTTTGGCTCAGATGTGGCTAGGGATTTTAAAATAATAAAATCCAGGAACATCCGAGCTCTGGCATAGCTTTCTAACGAATAATAGAATAAGGAAGAAACTTAATTTACAACAAATGTAAGCGACGAATGACGAACTGGCTTTCGCGGAATGCATCTTAATGGGTCTGATTCCCGGGGACAACGTTGGCGACCACTTGGGTCACGGCTTTCAGAGCAGCAGGAAGAGCAGGTGGCGGAGTAACAGCAGACACTGGGCTGGCATCTGGAGGGTTGTGAAAGAAGTAGAGCATAAAACCAGCGGCCAATACTGTATGGGCACTCAGGATGCCAATGATGAGGAACAGCGAGAACTGCGAGTTTCGCAGAGCAGGCGTCAATACGGCAATCAAAACTGTTCCCGAGAGCAGGGCGGCGGTGATCACTAAGAGCCATTGCAGCACAGAGATCTGCAAGGGTTTGTTAAAGACATTAATACATTTTTCACATATAAATTTACAAACAAAATATTATCTTTAGTTCCTTCCGCTTTAAAAAAACACCAACACGAACAGTACAGGTATAGTTTCTTCCGTTAAAAAGCTGGATATGCTTGCCACACATCGCTACCTACGTAAATATTACCTTTTTTGCTAAGAATTAACTTACATTGATAACCCACAGAATGGATACTGGTATATAGATGGCCAGACTGTATCCATAGATGCACATCAGCGACAAGAGACTCGGAGTATAGGTGGCCTGCAAGTAGACGCGAATGTGAGCGAGATAGATGATTGGAAATATGGCTAAAACCATACACTATCCGTTTCGATGGCATCCGCCGAATCCACGGGTTTTAGGCTGTACTTGAACAAGGCCCACAGCACAGCTGGCAAGATGTTGGCATACAAGAAGATGCAGGTGGCCGCATAGGAGACCAGGTGGAAGTTGTAGTGCCAGCTGTAGTTATCGTTGGCATGATGCAGATAGCTGGCTATGTTGCCACTAATGGCTATGGAGAAGATCTGAAATGAAAATGGACAATAAAGGCTGGTAATACCAATCTAGTCCAATGTACGCACCAGAGTAACGGTGATCCAGAAGGGTCCATAGAGATCCGGATTCTCGCCAATGTTCATTCGCAGATAGTTGCCAGCGGCCCGTTTAGGGATCATAGAGTTGGCGATTCGCTCGAGGACCATGTACGTGTCTACATTGAAGAACTGCTGGTAGTATTCAATGGTAAGGAAGGAGAGTCGTGCACCGCCAGTGCCACCGCCGGCGGATCCGTCAAGTGAGGAGTTCTGAGGCTGGGAACCGCCGCTGGATCCATCTCCTGCTAATCCCTGAGCCGAGGTGGTCATGTCGTAGATAAGATCCGCCAGCGGATCGCCGCGTTGACGCTGTGCGTTGGCACCACCGGATCCACCAGATCCTCCGCCCGTTGCATGAGTCGGTGAATTAACATTTATTTGGGCCGGGGCACCGCCGCTATAGTCGCGGAATTGCAACAAATCATCGGCCGTGGGTGTCTCCATTGGGATTGCAGGTTAACACTGTTGTTTTCTGATTACTTATTGTAAATATTACACGTATTTTTCACTTGGCCCCAAAAAATAATTCTGTTGGCAGCAATTGGTTATCAGTTATCGATAGCGCGCACATCACACATCAGCTGCGTTCGTCAGCTAGTGATGCCCGGAGCGCAAAACTTTCAAAACCCGCGGAAATAGCTATTTCTAGCTATTATTTAAATTAATCTTGAATGTTTATGTTTTAGTAAAATTAATATGAAATCATATTTAGGTGCTTTATGAAGATTTCTGTATGTGCTTCGGAGTGAAAATTTAAGTATATTTATATACTTAATAAATAATTATTAAACACAAGCTAAAAATCAACATAATTTTTTTGATATAACAAATAAATAAATTTATTGAATTTATTTATCAATACTAAATTGAGTCACTACTTTAGGACGTCTTGACAAGAGATCGCCAGGATGCATTTGCTTTAGACGTCTTCTAACTGTTGTGTTGGCCAGATCAGAAGTGATATGATTGGTGAAGTCTTTTGTTAGTTAACAAAAATAATTACATTCTAGATAGAAGTACAAGCAGAACGTTGGCAAAATGCGATGACATTTCCCAACACTTTTAAGCTACAGTTAAATTTGTTTGACTGTCCGTCTCTTTCTAGCACACGCATTCCTTACGGAACAAAAAGTGGCTTATGTGACTATAGGCTGTTGATAGAGATGCGCAGATGTCTTAAAACACAAATATATTCGTTGACTTTTAATATATTTCATTTGTTTAGATGTGAATATATTATTACACCATTGTACAACAGATATTTATGGATAAATAGCAACTTTTAGTATTGTGTATATACAAATATTTTGCTAAACCGTATAACAAAACGATATATTCCGATAAAGACCCATGTATCGATAACACTCTTGTTTGTGCTGCAGTTTGCTGTTTTTCCACCAAGTTTTTCACAAATTATATATTTTCTGTTGGCTGCAGATAAACATAAAAACATTTGCCCTTAACCCGGCAGTCACCTGCAGTCCGTCGCCAAATCGGAAACCCCGAATTCAAAGAAAACCCCGCCGAACGAGTCAAAATGCCCGTGAAGAATGGTGAATCTGATGGCGAAGGCGACGTTTCTGGCGGAGAATCGGAGCACTCGAATTCCAGCCAGGCCCATGACACTTCCGACGAGGAGGAGGCCAACGAATGCGATTCAGATGACTCCTCAGAGCTCGATGCCAGCGAAATAGAACGCCAGCGGGCAGAGCATATGGAAGATCTAGGTATGAATCAATAAATTTAATAATCCTGCCCGTATCTCATTGAGATTCTATCTAACTTTTATAGCGAGCCTGGAGCGGCAGTTTAATGCCCTGCGGGAGCAATACTACCAGGAGCGCATCAATCTCATTGACCGACACCTGGCCGAGGTGCGTTCAGGCCGTTCCGAGGAGTTTGTACAGCCGCAAAAGGAACTTGACAAGGTCCATCGCACCAGGATTGAAGTGGCGGATGTCCTACGCAAGTACCGCCTGCAGAACATCGAACACAAGTTCCAGTCAGAGGAACAAGCGGCCGTCCAACACTTTGAGGTAAGCACACACCCACACATTGCCTTTTCGCGCCAAAAAATTGCAAGGGCAAATTGGAGATAATAATGTGGTGACAATCAGATTAGATCTCATGTCGATAAGGAACTTGATTAATTTACGTGTTGAATTAAACGAAATGTTAGATTTAAAAAAACTGCAAGGGCTTCGCCATTATACATAGTTAGCCCGACCCATTTATAAGAATAATCCCCATCCGAGTAAGAATAAATGAATAACAATCTAACCCATTACAGAGCGAGAAACATATGGCATTGGACAACCTGCGCGATGAGTTCTTAGAGCGCATCCGTCGCCTGGAGGAGGATCGCCACAATGTGGACATCTCGTGGGCCGACTGGGGAACCGACAAGCGACAGAGCAAGGTGCGCGGACCGGGTCGCAAAAAGGCAGTTACTGTCACGGGGCCATATGTGGTGTATATGCTGCGCGAGGAGGATATTATGGAAGACTGGACGATTATACGGAAGGCACTCAAGCGATCCTCATCGTCGGCGACCGCCGGAACTGTTACGCCCACATCTGGGGTTGGCGTTAGTCTGGCCGGATTGCCGGCAATGGCCGGGGCCAGCGGATAGCGGTGGGGTGTGGCAGCTGCCTACGCCCAACTGACGCGTACCTGACGGCCGCGGCCGAGGAAACAGCAGCGGCAGCAGCAGCCGTAGACGTAGATGTATGTAGTTTGCAGCGATAAATAGCAGTAGCAGAGCTCCGCGGAGCCCGAATCAGACTTATTATTACATGCTAAGTTCGCCAAGTTCGGCCAACCCCCTTCCTCTAGATTTTAGTCGTAGAGCCTTGCGCCCACCACTCTCAGAATGATAATGTCCCCCATCCAGACGATGTAATTTATGCTAAAAGTTAAGTGCTAAATAAAAGCGAACTGCAGCCAAGTGGATGTGCGGTCAACAGAATTCAATTGATAACCTTATGTGGAAGGGCAGATCTTGGTTTTTGATAATAAAGGAGATATATCTAAGATATATCCGCCAATCCCTGAAATAGCTAATCAACCAAATCGTTCATCATAAATCAACAGAAGAGAGTTTATTGCGAAAAAGGATGGACATATCTGAGTATCTTTAGAAGCCCTTTTCCTTGAGATAATCTCGCAGAAGGTCCACATGATCGCCATGAAAATGGATTTGCCCGCTTAGTTCGTTGATCCGTGTGGCGCAGAGCTTTCCATTCCGTGATTTCTCCACCACTGCTCGCAGATCCTTTTCCAGCGACCAAATATCTCCTTGAACACGTCGCACCACTGTGATCCTTCGCTGGCCACGAAACTTGGTGTGCAGATACACTGGCACCATGTGATTCTTTGTCCTGCCTACATAATATCCAAGTTCCGAGCCATTCTCCTTTTGTGGCTGCCAGCCTGAGGGATATTTGGATTTTTCCGCCGGCTGTGGAACTGTTTCCGCCGGCAATAGGCGTTCTACAAACCGCCACTCGGGCGGATTGGTTAGTACTTCAACGTCGGGGTACTTGTCCAGCTCCTGAACTTCACGGGATGACCGAAAACTGGACAGAAGGGCCGGGTGCATGTGAATCTGCCTAGCGAACTGTGCGTGGGAAAGTCAATGATTTAAAGCGTTTCTTTAATGGAATAGTTTGATGTAACAGCTCACTTGACTCAGTTTTTGGCAGAGACTGCTGCTTAGCAGAATTTTTCCGCTGGTTGCCATGTTTTTGACAGAATATTAAGCAATCTTTCTTAAAAATATAAAAACACTAGCAATTGTTACGAAAGTGCGGCCGCTAGTGATGAGAAAACGTATCGATTCCTCTTGTTTAACTTGGCTAGGAACTATCGATGAATGTTTGTATAAAAATTCGTTTTTCAAGCCGAAATATTTTTTAAAATACACACACATTTTGTATTTTAAGATCCTGTTTAAAATGATAGTTTTTAATGATGATGATCCTTTTTACATATAAATGAGCAATAATTTCTTAGAAAAACATATTTTGCAGAAGAATGTTGCTTTACATTCTGTACTTCTTTTTTTGTATTTGTTTTTTTGATTTTGCTTTTGTTTCTTTTAAATTTCCATCGCATGCAACAAATGCAGCCTGTGACGTCATCTCCGGAGCTTTTTATCTCACACAAGCGCACACAAACACCCACACGTACACAGGCACATGCACACAAACGTTGCAAGTGCTGCATTTGAATTGCTTTGCTTATACAATTTTTATTGCACTGCAGCTGTTGTATGCCGTTGATTTTTTTCGATATGCGGTAATCGCGGAGTTTTCTGGGTATATCGAATAAGTCGGAATTTATGTATCGGAAATTCGTTTTGAAATACATATATAAATTTACTGCATTCTATTTACATTTCCAGACGTTTAAAAACGAGATGTGAGGTGATTATCCGACAAGACTCATATGTATTGGATAGCATTAAATCGATCTTCATAATGTAAAACAATGTTTCTAATTTTTCAGTGTAGGGCATTTGCTGGTCGTTAGAAAAGATGCCCCCTCTCGAAAAACTATTACCACTTGTTGTTGCTGCTGTTTTCTGCCAGCATAAAGTGTTTGCGCTGCAGCTTTTGTTGCTATTTGCTATATGCAATTTGCAATTTGCGCGCAGTTGGATTTTAACGCTCAGTTTTGGTTGCGCGTCCGCTGCGAGTAGTTGTTGCTTTTCGGCGCGCCCGATCCCCTTTTTGATTATTTTTTTTTATTCATTTCGATCCCCTTTGCTACTAAGCCCCTGGACTTAACTGCATGTGCGTGTAATTGAATGATATACCGTTAGTTTAGCACAAGAGTTAACGGGCAGCAGAACAAAATAGTGCGTGTGAGCGGGACAGAGGCAATGTGCTGGGTCACAATGGCTCGCAAGGACGATCCGGTTTATAACGTGCGGTTCGTGCAGTTCGTAGAAAATCAGCCATGTTTGTGGAATTATACACATCCGGGATATAGCAAAAAGGAGGAGGTGCAGAGGGCGTGGCAGCAGGTGGCCAATGAGATCAAGGACACGGGTAAGACAACAAAACTAAAGAAATGAAAAGTGGGAAAGAAAACCATTGTTTTCCGCCTGATTCCTTCTTCTTCTTCACCGCCGCCGCCAATTGCGTGCTCATTTCGCTATGCGTGTGTGTGTCTATGATGCAAGCTTTTTTTGTGTTAGTGTGCAATTGTTTTTGTTCCTTTTTCGTTATTTCTTCTTATTTTGTTTTTGCATTTGTATAGGTGTGTCACTGTGTCGCACAGTTTTTACTTGCAATTTGTTGCTGCTTTTGCATTTGCTTTTCGGTTTACTGTTGCCTTTGCATTTGTCATTTGATTTTGCTCGGCAATTGCACTACACTGAGAACTGAAAGAGTTGATCAATTTAATGCAACGACATTTATACAATTAATTTAAACCAAACTATATTCATTTTCCAGTGCGCAACTGCCGCGAGCGATGGCGGACCATTAGAAGCAGCTTCCTCCGATCCCTGAAGCTGGCACGCACACAAACCGGCCGTGGGAAGCGCAAATACTACCTGTCCAAGTACCTGCAGTTCCTGATCCCCTACACCAAGTCGCGATCCTGCCACAAGCAGCTCCCTCCGGGTATTGCCACTGGCAATCCTTCGGCTGGTATGGTGCTCCGAAAACCAGGCAACACAACAACCATATTTCCGGATGCACAACAGCAGCAGCAGGAAGAAGAGGATGAAGATGAGGAGGCCAAAGAAAGTGACAGCGAAATGCCGTTGGATGTGCAGGTTTCCGAGGAGGAGGTGGATGGTGTGGTCTTGGATGATGCAAGGCAAGATCAGGAACAACAGAATCAAGAGCAGCCCACCGCCTGTTTGCCGCTGCGCCTGCAAGCCATCAAAGTGGAGCAACCCTCTCAGATTTCTAATCCCAATTCGAATGCCCAGCTGGACAGGATCGTGAACCTTCAATCGCTGGTCTCAGTACCTGCCGCTGCATTGGGTAACCACATGGATTGCACGGACTTGACCCATTGGTTGAAAAGCAATGGCAGTCATCATTTCAATCATCTAAATCATCATCATAAGTTAACCACACCACCGCCACCGCCGGCAACGCCAGCTTTGGGGGGAGCTTTAAGCGGAGGTTTGGGAGGTGGATCGGGAGCCATTCCCCTGCCCATTCCTTCGCCACCGGATGCTGACTACTCCTTTCTGATCAGCCTGCATCCGTACCTCAAGGAAATGAACGGCAAGCAGAATCGACGATTTCGCCAGAAAGTCATCGGTCTCATTGATAATGTCCTGGATAACATCGATGTTTAATTGTGGGAAAATGTATACACATGGAGAAATATTATCGTTGTTAATATAATGAGTCCAAAGTATTTAAATCATTTCGAAAAATATTTATATGTAAAGGTTTCTGAAAAATGTATTTAAATTTGATTTGATAGTAATGAAATCTGTAGAATGGTCATTCTTGTATGACACAGCTTTTAAATTCAATCCAATTGAGTGATATTTTCTCTCTGTGTAGAAACCGCAAGCACGATAAGGAGAAAAACACACCCAGAGTAACGCCAACAGTGCCCATTTATTACATGTGTAGAGCGTATTTTTATTGCGCTTTTTGTTGTTGTTAAACACACAAAATCACCAATTTGTTATTTGTAAAATAAAAACAAAAACAATTTTAAAATTGTCTTTCAATAGAGCGGCAATTATTGGAAGATTGGTTATAAGATTTAAAATTGGTAGCTTATTTGTTTCTAAATAAATTTGATTTTTTGCATTTATTTTTAATGCAAATTTTACAAATATGTATCTATTTACACATTAAGTTTATGTGCTTTAGCAAACATAGCTATTTTTTCAAAACTCTAGCTTTTTTCCGCGCTAATAAAATTTGATCGATAGTTGTAAGGGGACAGCTGATATTTCGATAGTCCGCGAAGCTTCGAGCATTTGTTGTTGTGGTGGCTGTTCGTTTTGTTGTTGCATTTAAAAGCAGAGCAAATTCACTGGCACAGAATAACAATTAACAAAATGCTTTAATTGCATTATTGTCGCCTATGGGAAAGTAGTTAAATGTGGCAGTAATCTCAGTAGCACCAACAAATATATTCGTTTTTGGGTGAGTTATTCCATATGTGTGACTGCCATGTGTTTGAATTGCATTTGTGTGTGTGTGCGGACCTGAGGTTTTGCTTTAATTATATATTTTTTTGTTGTGCTTACTTTTCCGATACGAAGTGATGTAATTTTTGGCTGGTTGATAACCCAAATCAGTTGTCCGTCAACCGCAGAAGCATTTACCACGTTAATCCATAAGTTTCATTTAGTTTATTGGCCTACAAAGTTATATAAAAAACACACAAACACACACACACAAGGTCACTTCAAATAGAAAGTTTTTGTTTGTTTTCATTAATTTTGTGTCTTTCCCCACTCAAACAGCTTGTGACATCATCATCAGGACACAGCCACGGCTCCTGCTAGGGTCCCTCCCACTTAACAACATGAACGAATGCCGCCAAATTACAAAAAACACAAAAACAACAACTAATTCGATAATATCCACCAAAACAGTCACTAAGAAGCATTTGATTTTGGAAAAAAGAATCATGTCGGGCAATTTGGAGGATTGTCCTTCTCAAAATTCGTCCAATGGCCAGGAAATATCAGCAGAGGATCGATTGGCAATCGAGGAAAGGCAACGCAAGGCATTCGCTTTCTTTACGAACACCCTAACTATATACAGCGTTGAGGAGTTAATCTTTTGCTTTAATGGTGGCAAAGATTGCACCGTCCTACTTGACCTCCTCATGCGTTTCCTTCGCCAGGAGAACATCTCCAGCGGTGACATTCCCATGTTGTATATCAAATCTGGTGATTCGTTTGCCGAAATCGATGATTTCGTTGAGCGTTGTGTTCGCAATTATCGCGTGGAGTTGGTGGAATATGAGGGATCCCTGAAGGAGGCACTCACCCATATGGCGGCGGATATGCCAAGGATAAAGGCCGTCTTCGTGGGCAGCAGAAACACGGATCCCTATTGTCAGCATTTGGCGCCGATGCAGGTGAAGCCAAAGAAATGTACCCCTTTTTCCTCAACCAGCTGGTCTATTCATTAGCTTTTTGATATATATTATTAGTATATTCAAAAGCATATCTATTGGTATTGAAAGTTTACCACTATTATTCATGAGAATGTATATTCTTTTCTAGAACTATCATTCTGATTTGATATTTTGCATATGTCATGTTTCTATATCACAGATAAGGGTATACTTAACCCAGTACGTAAAATTATCTCAAGTATCTTTTAAAATAATCTATTTAATTCCACGTGAACCACAGTTCATATTACCGTTTTTCATTATCATTTTTATTAAAACTGTAGAGCCTGTTCTTTTATAACTAATGGTTTTTTGAGAACCCCACAAGGTTAATGACTTGGGAATGGTAACCACAAAAAATCCTTTCGAAAACTTGAAAATTATTTGGATTTCATAATATTTTTAAGTTTTTCTTTAGGAATAATTGTATATATATTAAATATCTTTCTTTTTCAGCCCACGGACAACGACTGGCCACCGATGATGCGTCTGAATCCCTTGCTGGAATGGGGATATCACGATGTCTGGCACTACATCCACATGAATTCGGTGCCATACTGTAGTCTGTACGATCGGGGCTATACCTCCATTGGCAATCGTTCCAACACAATTCCTAATCCGCATCTTAGACGCCACGATCCTCAGTGCGACTGTGATACCAATTCCGAATGCTCTTGTAATCCGGATGGTTATAGACCCGCCTGGGAGCTGGCGGATCCCACTCAAGAACGTGCTGGTCGCCTGCCCAGGAAGTAGTACAATAATACCTTTTTGAAATCCCAAAACGAAGAGCAGTGCCTGTCGCGTGGCTGTAGTGCAATTTTATATAGCTTAGACTTTAGTTAGTCACAAATTTGTATATAGATATGTATATTCCCTTGTGATTTGGATTTCGGTGTAAAGACTTAATCTTAAATTGTTTTTTACGTCCTAAGCTAGGCTGCTGAATAAATATGTGGGCTCTGTCATCGAGCCACTTAAGCAGGATTTACTGGGTTTTTGTAGGAACCAGATTTTTAGTGTAAACATTTTAAGAATACCAGAAATTGCATCATTAAGTTTATGAAAGCTTATTTTTGAATTTAGCTTTTTGGCATTCTAGCTTGAAATAGCTGAATCAAGCTTGAAATCAATGACATGTCAGCAATGCCATTGATAAAAACTCCGAAATGGCAACACTGATATGGCCAGAACAGCTGATTTCACAGCTGATTTTAACCGCATTTTCACAACATTGCGCGACTCTTTGAACTTTTTTGACCGCTCTCGTTGATATTTTTACGTAATATACGTAATTTGGAGATCATCAGTGAATCACCCACGCGAGAGACGCACATAAACCAGTATTTCCTCGGTGGCAATGTCGCGATCCGCTCAAGATGTGGCGGCGCTGCTGCGGGGATTGCGGCTTTTGGTGGAGGCATGTGGGCGCGAGCATCTCGCCCACGGTCGTCATCTTTGGAGCAACTCAAGCATTCGTGAGCTAATCGCTGAGAATGCTGCGCACACATCACAGCTGGTCAAGAATTCCAGTAAAAATCCAACTGAGGAGCTGAAAAAGTTGCAGAACTCCCTTCAAGAAACCGGTGAAAGGGGTTACGTGGTGGCCAAAGGAATTTGTTCTCTGCTGGAGATCAAATTAAAGACATCCCGCGAGGAGTCTACTACTGCCGAGTCAACATCAAGCACTGGCGCTAGCAAGAAACCTTCGGCCCCAGCACAAAATCAAGTAAATTGGGACGCCGCTAATCTAGATTTATCCTCTATAACGCTCAAGGAGTTCGAGGAAATCCTTTCAAAAAGGAATAAAGATCGCAGCATAAGTCTGCGCACCCCGGCCACCAAAAGCAGCCAAACCATGCCAGGCAATCAAAAGGGCAAGGAGGCAAAAGCTGGACAATCTGATCCGGGAATCATTAGCCAGGACACCGAGTATGTCAACAATGTCCTGCGTTTTGTGGCTGGAGCAAAGGCAGAGGAGCACGAACCAGATACGCAGGTGAAAAACACGAGTACCGATCAAAAGCAGGCCATAGATGTTCCGGAACTGAGTAAAGTGGCAAAACAGCGCAAAGTTCCCTCCTCCCGGATAGGCAGAATGGCTTCTTTTGGCGGTCTGTTCGCCGGTCTGGGCATTGGAACCCTTAATGAGCTAACCAAGGGTGCACTGGGTCTGGGCGGATCCACCACCATGCGTGAAGCCCTATTGAGTCCCGCCAATGCCGAACGTATCGTTGATACGCTGTGCAAAGTGAGAGGAGCTGCTTTAAAGATCGGACAAATCCTGAGTATCCAAGATTCCAGCGTGGTGTCGCCTCAGCTGGCCAAGGCCTTCGAGAGAGTACGCCAGGCTGCGGATTACATGCCCGATTGGCAAGTGGAACGGGTGATGAACACCCAATTGGGGGCAGATTGGCGCCAGAGGTTAAGGAGTTTCGAGGACAAACCTTTCGCTGCTGCTTCCATTGGCCAGGTTCATCGTGCGACTCTTAGCGATGGCATGGATGTGGCCATTAAAATCCAATATCCCGGCGTTGCCCAGAGTATTGAGAGTGATATTGATAATCTGGTGGGCATGCTCAAGGTGTGGGACGTCTTTCCCCAGGGATTCTTCATTGACAACGTGGTGCGCGTTGCCAAGCGGGAGTTGCAATGGGAGGTGGACTACGATCGCGAGGCGGAATACACCGAGAAGTTCCGTCAAATGATTTCACCCTATCCTGAGTACTATGTACCACGGGTGGTGCGTGATTTGACCACCTCCAGTGTTCTGACCACCGAACTGGTGCCGGGCGTTCCTCTCGACAAATGTTTCGATTTAAGGTGAGTAGACCATCCTTCGAGATTGCCATTTTACTAAACCCAATCTCTTTCAGCTACGAACATCGTGCCCACATAGCCGCCTCCGTGCTGAAGCTCTGCCTGCGTGAGCTATTCGAGATCGAGTGCATGCAGACGGATCCAAATTGGTCGAACTTCCTTTACGATGCGCCCAGTCGCCGGCTAATGCTGATCGATTTCGGTTCGACGCGTTTCTACCGGCACGAGTTCATCCGTAACTATCGTCAAGTGATCATGAGCGCAGCTGAAGACAATCGACAGGGTGTCCTGGAGATGTCTCGTGAAATGGGTTTCCTTACGGGCTACGAGACCAAGCAAATGGAACAAGCCCACGTTGATGCCGTGATGATTCTCGGCGAGATCTTTCGCTATGATGGCGAGTTTGATTTTGGCAAGCAGAATACCACCGAAAGATTGGCCGCCTTGGTGCCCACAATGGTGGCGCATCGATTGTGTCCCCCGCCCGAGGAGATTTACTCCATTCATCGCAAGCTTTCGGGCATTTTCCTGCTGTGCGCGAGACTTAATGTGCGCATGAATTGTGTTCCCTTCTACAAGGACATTGTCCTAGGGAAATTCAAGGACTAGAGAGGTGTAGTGGTCGCCCTTCCCTTTTTTTTTTTTTTAACCCCATCCTAGTAGTAACACTTAAGTGCGCTTATTTTGTAAATGCAATTTGCAAAACGATTACAGATGTTAATGTAATAGCTCAGTTGGTAATCTTTGGCTGGGAACTATATTGCCTGGAGTGGATTCGTTGAACAACTAAGCTCTGGTTGTTGTCAGGTCTTGTTCAGATTCTTTTCAAAACGTAGGCATTTAAAAAGCTGTAACATTTCTACACCAAACATTTTAGTTTATAGCCCAAGGAGACACTCAACTTCTCCCTTTAAGACCAAACATGGCCAAATATAAGAAGGTAAAGCCCAGGAAAATGGACGTAGTGTTCCATAATGATTGTGAACCAGATGTGATTGAATTGGATGATTTGATAGGCGAAGAGGAGTTTGAGGAGGAGACACCTAGGACGGAAGAGATTCACTGGGAGAATATGAAACGTGAGATAGGTGCGATGAATCGATCTTTGGATGAAATGCAGGCTAGTCTGGATGTTGATCCGTACGAGAAGATCATGAAAATAGAAGTGTTAAAAGATGAGGCGGAGGCAGATAAAGTGGGCCTGGAACCGGAGGACTCTCGCTGGATGGTATTGAATGGAAGCAGAGATCCTGTCGTTAGAGACTTGCAATGGAATAACCTACGCATCCGCCGGCAATTGGATGCCCTAGCTCGCTGTTCGGAGTTGGGTAATGGACGGATTTTGGCTCTGGATCGTTTATTTTCACGGCAACACGTTGATCTCGTAGCTTGTCGCCAGGTGCATGACCAAGTCGAATCTTTCCATTTAACCAAACAACTGGAGGCGGGCAAATGCCTTCAGCGATTTCGACATGCCCAGGAACTGTATGCCAGTTGGCGAGAGCTCTTCCGGATGGGTCGTGATTTGAGGGAGGCGTACAAGAAGATCCTGGAGCGTACTCAATCCCGATTGCACTATGTGGAGTACAAGAGGCGGGCTTACAAGGAGATTACGTCGACCAACGAGACATGCCTTGGTGCGATAAGAGAATTATTGATGCGAGTCCGAGTAATGGAAATGGGCCTGGCACCATTGGGCATAACCAGATCGTCGGCCAATTCTCGTCGCCAAGGTAGCCTTAATTCGACCAATGGACATAGTGACCAACGTCCGGACGATACTTCCGGCCGACCAGTTGTTGTTAGGGCAAATGTTTGGCAGCGTCGATCCTTCCGCACTGTCAAATTCTCCCGGGGTGATCTGCTCAATCTTCCCATAGTTATTCCGCCCGTATCGAAAACTTGGTACGGCAAAATGCAGTATATGCTTTATAATCCAATCAAAACCTTTTAATGCTTAATGCTTCCTTGATTCTAAACAAAATCCGGAGTTATCGGTTATTTGGCCAGTGAAATGAATATATGTTAATCTGTGTTAAGACTAATACAAAATTTATGGAATTCAAATGATTTTTATTCCAAAATGAAGTTTTAAAATCAAACGGAATCAGTTGTTTACCGTTAAATAACATCAATTTCTCTTTTTTTTGTTCTCTTTCTCTGTTAGTTGCATTTAACAGTCAGTAGAGTATATGTTAACACTTAACAGAGCGCTGCTGACGGCCACTCTAGCAGCGAAATACGACGTAAGCTACTTTTCTTGTGATCTTGTGATCAGGTCACACTGGTAAATGTCGCGATTCGGGAAGGCTGCGCGCGCGGATAACGGATACTTTGCAGTTAGTTTACAAATTTGTGCGGAAGAATAAGACAATCTCTCCGGAGTCCTGAATATCGCACAGGATTCAAAGAAATCCCCAAAAATTAAAGTAAATTTCGGGAATAAAAGAATTCGAAACTACAATCATTCATTGATTAGTTAATTAAATGATAAATAAGAGTGCTGGTGATCGAAGGTTTCTTTTCATTGGCAGAAAACTAACTAATAAATTAAACTAATCTTACTAAACTACCCGGTTTTATAAGTACAATATATATCTTTTCCTTTTTATCAGCGCGCGCATATTTCAATATTTAAACGTGCGCGACAATCTTATAGTTTCATTAAAATATCATTATACTTAGTATGATAATAAATTGTTTTTTTTTTTTTCGTGTTGTTGTTTTTGTTGAGAGTGCAAGAGAAAGATCGAGCAGTGCATGTGTGTGTGTGTTTGTGAGGAAGTTATAGTTTAATGTTGGTTAGCTTCAATTGTCGAGCAAAACACACGAAAAAAGAAAGAAAAATAAATAAATAATACAGCAGCGGCAGCAGCAGCAGCAGCAGTGGCAGCAACAACAACAACAACAAAGTGATGCTGATTGATGTCACACATACAACGGTAAAATAAAGTAAGTAGCAGACAATTGGATTTGCATGGCAAAGAAGACAAAGAAGAAGAAGAGCGAAGAGCCGAGTTTATCAATGAAAGTGAACTGTGGGAGTTGCTCGACTTCTGTATGTGTGCGTGTGTATGCGAGAGTATGATCAGTGGCGCAGTCAAAAGGGGCTCGTAGGGGTTAATAACCCCCAACAGATCTTTACTAATATTAAAAGCAAGGAAATATTAACTCATTCGTTAGGTTAAGTTTCTATGGTAAAAATATTTATATTTCTATCATAAAAACTAACATATTTCAAGAAGTAAACCCTCCATAAAAATAGTTTCTACGTTAGTGCATGTATTGCATTAGAGGTGTTCCATGATTACATTATTGGAATAATCCAACGATGCTGTGTGGTGAAAAGGAACTATTCCTTTTGAAATGGAAAACTAAAGAAAGTATAAGAATGGAAAGAAGCGTTAAAATGTGATAACAAAATGCTTGACGTTAGTCTGACCTTTCTTCTCCAACTAATAGTGCTAACTAATCAAAGAACTAAGAATTCTTAGGATAAAGAATTTACTGTTCTTACAGGATAGCATCGCAATTAGAGTGAAACTAGCTTTTTAGGTAACTATCTCATTGATCAAAATTATGAAAAAACAGTTAGAAAAACTTGAAAAATACCTTCAATAAAAAGGTAGTTGACAGTTTTCACAATTAATTCTAACTGATTACTCAGTTGTCTAAAGCAAGATCAAACTTGTATTTATTTTCCTCAATTGTTTAACATTTCTTTAGCATAAAGTTTATTTAATATTTTTTCAGCATTGGCTGTTTACATATTTCTTTAAATATTTGTTGTTTGTTGTCTTTTTTTTTTTCTTCGTTTATTTTTTATTCGGTCGCTATCAAAGCACGTTGGAAACGTCTTAATTATATATGGATTGGATGAATAAACTGTTCCAAATTCGCATGTATTGGAATGTGCGTGTGTGGGCTCTATGTATTTCTTCATATATATATATATACATATATATATACATATATAGAGAGGTATATACATATATATGTTGAGAAATGCCGTTGCCAGCAGCCGCTGCAGCAACAACAGCAATGGGAAACCTTTTGATAATCATATCACGCAGTCCACTGATAATTCGCATTGTATTTGTTTGCTATTGTTGTTGCTCCTGGTGCTTTATCAGTCCGCCGCTCCCTCCCTCTCTTTATCACCGTCTCTCTTTTGTCGCCTCACTCTCGCTCTTTGCCGATCGCCGATCGCCGACACTCTCTTCTTTCTTCTTTTTTGAGGGGCAAAGAATAATAAATAAAACACAGACAACACACAACAACAATAGCAAAAAAAATGTCAAATAATTGTTTAATAAATTTAGACTACAGTAGAGACTCTGTATTTGGAACTTAAGAAGAACAACAACAAAAAAAAAAAAATGTCCCATTATATTTCCAATTTTTTTCTGCGATCTCTGCGCATTATTTCGCCGTTATCTCCGATCCACCGGACTAACGGAAAGTTTCCAGACCCAGACCCCAGTGTGTTTACATCGGGCGGGATTATGGTGGGGAAATTATGGTTTTTAGACCCCTCCAGGGAAATTTAAGATCACTGGACAAACAAATTTGGAACCTTTTTCGCAGTTTGTTTATTTGATGATTATTATTCATATGCATATATCTTCTTCATGGGCGAATTCTTCTGGCGGCTTACGGCTTCCAGTTTCCATGGGGAAAAGATCACCTTATTGCTGTTTCGGCAGGATCTTAAGGAAATTTGAAATCACGGTTGATCTATTTGTTTATATATCCCAAAAGCGCCCAAAGGCTTTCAGTTTCCGTGGGGAAAAGACAGCAAGATATTGCTGTCTAAGGAATTTTGAAATCACGGTTGATCTATATGTTTATCTCTGCCATAATTTCGGCTAACCCTCTTAAGTTTCTGTCGCCAGGGAATTCTGTAAACATTTTTTAGCTGTATCATGGAGTCTCCATTATAATTTGAGTACGTTCTCGTTTATGTCTACCGTAATTCCTTAAGGCCAGAAGATTACAGCTCTAGTTGTATATTATTTTCTAATTCTTCTCTAACTTCCTTGGCAACAATTATTTTGTAGAGTTCCAAATGACTTAGATATATGCTTCTTCCTTAACCCTAACTTTGTATGTTTCTTTTACATGATAACATATTTTTCGATATTTTCGATAACAACATATTAGCATATATCGATTCATAGTTTCTCCTTGTGTAAACAAAGAATTTCAACAAAAAAAAAATGTAGAATGAAAAATTAAGCGCAGACGAACAACAAAAATAAAAAAAGAAAAAATGATTCGAAACTATTGTGTAATTTACATTAACGAGCGGATGTCGTTGGCTTCTACTATATAATGAACCAATTACCCAGTTTGTCTCTTGATTCGATTGCTCTGCAGGCACACACACAGATACAGATACAGATAGAGATACAGATAGAGATACTGATGCGAAGATACATCCACATATTTGTATCTGCATTTGTGTCGGTGCTGTGTTCTGTTTTGTGCTTTTCGCAAAGTGACTAAACGAGATTTTTTTTGTGGCCGCCACTGCTGCTGCTGCTGTTGCTGCTACTGCTACTGCTGCTGCTACTGCTGCTCTTCCAATTCCGATTCCAATTCCATTTCATTCATGTTGAAGACACCCACTTGAATGATTATGAGGCACTGCAGATGCTCACTAACAGCTACACAGCCACACAGATACAGATTTAGATTGAGATTCAGATACTTTTTACAGGCGCATATTTGGCCATCGTCAAGTGACGCTTCCGCATTTGCCGGTCACCCACGTGCCAAATGCTTTAGATATCTCAAATCTAAAATCTACAAATCTCAGTTCTCAGTTCTTAATTCTTCAAAACTCAAATTCTTCAGACCAAAAAAAGAAGCGATCGCTCGTCAAGTGGCTGGCTAGAAAGAATGCGATCCCAGATAAGATATTCCAAATTTGGTCAGTCTCGTTTGGGGAAATATTCAACAATCTTAACACCTGTTTTTTTGAAGAATTTACTTAAGTAAAAAAGTGTTAATTCTTCTTTAAGTTACATCAATTAGAACTATCTAAAGAACCTATGAAAAATAAGTTCAAGATCATTGGAAATAGACAAAGAATCCTGAAAAGTATTTAAACTTTTTCTTGTTCTTTGAAAATTGCAAATATCTTTCGAAAATACCAACTGTAAGATACGATAAGAGGTGCTGATATAATTTATGCTGCGCACACGTTGCGAATGATTATTATAAATCTTCTAACAAAGATTCTCTTTCTTTCTTTCGTTCTTTTTTTTTTTTTTTGTAAACTTTTCCATTCCATTGAAGAGATAAGTGAAACTTCTTGGAAACTTTTATCCCCGCCAGCGAAATTTTCCATGCAAATGGATCTTTGTTTATTTATTCTGGCTATCGAAGAACAACAAAATTTACCAATCGAATTGAGATGTTGTATATGATATGATTGTTGTTCTTCAGGCAATCGGACATTCGGACACAAATTGCCCATCGATAATTGCTGGGGGTCTCTTGGAATCTCGGAGGAAGATTCGTAATTGTGAAATTCTTGGCTAGTGCCATCTGCACTCTATAATTGCTGATCAGCAATTGAAACTTGTGGATCCTTTCGGACCAGTATCATTAGTATATGTTGTTGTTGTTGTTGTTGTTGCAATTTCCAACTTGCAACTTGAGTGGAAACTCCTCTTGCATATTCATAGGAGGCTAACACTATATACTTATACATAATACTGGTTGCCACATAGACTTTGTTGTCGACGATGCTTGTAATTTTTTAATAACACTTAACAAACGCCTTGGACTTGGCATGTAAATTGTTGATAAATTATGTTTTTAATAGTGCCTTGCTGATGACATTGTTGTTGTTGTTGTTTTTGTTATTATTATTATTATTATTGCTGTTGGTTTATGTGGTCAGATAGCTGGCGCCAAAGATACTCAAAATATATCTATGAGAATGTGTATAGCGACTTATGGATACCCCTAAATGAACTTAAGTAGCTTATTAATAAAAAATTTGACTGTTAAATGTAAAACTAGTTCTTCTATTTATATTAACTTTACTTAGTCTTTTGCCTTAGAAATTTCTTCTTGTAAAATTAACTAATCAATCCCTCAAATACCTCCGCCTTCTGCTGCCACTTAAGCCATATGCTGTCTCAATTTTACAATTTAATTCTCATAAATTCAGATGTGTCTGTGCTTTTATGTATACAACAGATATATATATATATATATATGAATATATATCTGCTGATTTGTGTTGGCTAAATGGTAAATAAAAATTCATGTTTTGTTTGCATTTAACCGCACCAAGAAAAACAAACAAACCTAAAGCTGAAACAAAACAAAATCCCAAATTATTCCCGAAATATTACTTAGTAATACTAATAACAATAAATTGTTCTTCTTTTCGGCCAATACGTTTTAGATTTTGCTCATATTTATACTTTTTAGTTAAAAAAAAAAAGGAAAAAGAAATGTTTAAACAATGAGGCACTCAGAAGTCTCTTTTGCCTACCAAAAATATTGGGCAAATATGAAAAATTTAGGCTAAATCATCTGTTTAATTACCTTGACGTTCAGATAATATATATTATATAGGATATATATTCTTAGTCATTGGGAAAGTCGATTGAAAGCGTCGGTTTTTATCTAACACAAACACTGTTGAATGGAAGCGGTGATATGTTGGGTGCTAAATTGGGCTTATTAATGCTGCAGAATTTATTTCTGATTATTGCCAGGTTTTCCTCTTTCAGCTTTAATGTTTTATGTTTTCTTGAAATCCTATTTCGTATATATATAATAAATATATATAGGTTACATTTTCCTTTTAAAATCCGTGCTCGAAATCACTGTTGCATCAACGATTCCGAACCGAAACCTAAACCTGATTGCCCGCCTATGTACCACATAATTGACTGCATTAGCCTGCGAGCAGGCAACAGATGGCA